AATGTACGTAATGTTTCTTTGAAATAACAGCAAACATCTGTGAAACACTAATATTTTTTGCCTATTTAAACACAGTGACGATTGTGCAATTTCACAGTCGATCATCGCAAAAGAACAAATTGCCAACTGTAAAAAAAAAATACAAACTTTTGATGTGGATGTCATTTACAGGTTTGGCCTGTTGTTTTTACAATTAACATGCAAATAAATCCTGTTTTTATTTGACTTATTATCTGTAACAAAATGAGAAAATCTGTAAACTCATTGTTTAAATAAACTACAGTTAAAAACATTATTTTCTTTGCAGTGCACTGTAAGGTGATAAATAGCTCATTTTATTCTCTTTAAATGCAGCATTTCAACCTAACACATCTTCTTTTGCTCTGCTACTAATTGTAAAAAGACCTTTTTCTGACCCTTGGATCCAGGGTGCAGGTTTTATATTTTTACTGTTTAAAAAGCCTCCCGTCTGTACATGCCGTTCGTATAATGACACCCCGTCGTCCTATATGACTGTAGAACATCTCCTTCCAAAACCACGAGCGTTAATCTGCTGCTCCGACAGCCTCCACTCTTCTGGTTTCAGGCTTTCTGCCAGATTTTGGATCCTGGCTGCAGGGATTTGCTTCCTGTCAGCCACCAGAGCATTAGTGAGCTCAGATGTTGGGCGCGAATGTCCGGCTCACAGTTCATCCCGAAGGTGTTGGATGAAAGCAGCAACACTTCAACCCCGATTATTTAATTTACAAAAAATATTTAAAACCCTGAATCAACATGCACAACAAACAAATGGTGGCTCTACGTAGTGTAAATATTTGACTGCTTACATGTTTACAGCCTCTACAGATTAGCGGTTTCTGCACATCAACTCTTCTTTCAACAGCTTGCTCCGCTGTACATCATGTTAGACTAATGCTGCATTTACTTTACCACTCAGTTATGTTTTATTTTGCTCTCTAAATGTTTCCCAAAGCGTTTCTCTTGTCTCCTCTGTCTGAACACTGCCTGCAGTTCAGCCAAACAGCCCCTGAACTGCACAGTTGTTCAGCTGAGTCAATCAGTTGTATAGTTTCATAAGGATCTGGTGCAAACTGGTTATTTTTTGGTGATTTGTTAAATGAAACATGTAGAGTCGAGTGACTTTGACGAAATATAACGATTTTAATTTAAGATTTGACGATGCTTCCCGACGTAAGCCACAGATGTGAAGTTGAACCATCATCATAAAATTCAAACAAATCCAATCCATCCAACCAGTTTTTGGTTTGGACAAATAAGAAGCTAACGGTTTCTCGGTTGCTGCAAAACACGCAAAATATTTTGTTTTCTTACCGAATCTGGTTCACGCAAATGTTTTCCTGGCAAATTTTCAACTCAGACGTTTAGGATGAAACCATTTTGATGAAACATCTTGATTTTAAGCTCAGATGTAGTCAGTTTTCCAACAGAACGGCACATCATCATAGACTGTATAAAAGATGGACGTAGCTACCGTGACGCCACCCGTTGGTTTCTGCACTGAGAAAATGAAGCCAGGGTTTTGCTACTTCCTGGTTGACATCTTGGATTTTTGGAGCCAGTGACGCAAAAATCGTGGGAGGGGGGCGGAGCCATAGGAGCAGCGATTGGTCAGACGGATTGAGAGGCAGGCCCTCTCTGCCCGCCCACATTTACCACCTTCTGCTCGCTTCATCTGTATGGTCGCTGCCGACTGTCAATCAAGCCAGCCACGCCCCTTGCCCCGCAAAATGTTGACAATTTTTTAAAAATTCAGTTTTGATTTATTTTCACATTGGCCACCTGATCTCTGGACTTGACCATGAAAACTAATAAGAAAAAAATCCTGAGCAGTAGGAATGCAGTATTTGGTGATCTGTGATCACTTCTTCTCCAATTCAAGTCTATGGGAGCCAGGGCTTTTTGGAGCCAGTAACCAGTGGACGTAGGTTTTTGACACTTCCGGGTTGGCTTCATTTTTCAGGGCCGGTTGCTACGTCCATCTTTTATACAGTCTATGCACATCACACGTCACTTCCTGTTGGTTTAACTTTAAACTATGCTGCAATGAACTTTAAAACAACGTCCAAAATTACGAAATAATGAATTTAAACCCACGAGTTTGAGCAAAAAGCAGCTGGTCTTCTCATTTTAGAACCAAAAAAGCCTCTTGGATGACAGGTTCTCTTCAGGAACCTTCTACTGAAGCTCTTAGGATGACTATGAGCTGCAGGACAAAGAATCTACACAGAAGTTTAATAAACCGTGGTTTAGTTTTTAGTCTCGCCCTGGATCCAGGTTATCTGTATTGCCTCTTCCATCAGTGGAAGATGACCGTTCCCTTCAGCTCTATGGAGGTATTCAGCATCTTTTTGAGGCATCTTGTTGGTTCTCATCTATCTCGTCAGCAACAGTTCCTGAGCTCTGTGCACTACCAGCCATCACCAAACAGCAAATGAAGCTGGGGGGCAAAGGTATTTCCTTCGGGAGTTGGTGGAGACCAAAGCAGAGTTAAAAGAAGAGTCAACATAGGATTTATATTCACCCAAAAAACACCAGAGACGCACCTTCAAATGAACCAAAACGTTGCTCTGTGCCCGCTGGATGTGTAGAAAGTCGGCTGTTTGCTCACAAACGGTGATAAAGTGTAATGGTGTGTTTACAGACTGTTGCACTGCAGCCAAATGCCAAAGAGCATCACTTTAAGTACAATTCACTTCCCACAGAGGCACAGTAACATTCACCACGACTCACTCACCTGGGTAAGGAGAACGAGGGGTTGCTGTACCAGCTGCTGCCCAGCTGTGTGCACTCTTGTCCTCTGGGCGGCGTGTCGTCCGAACCGCTGCTCAGCCTCTCGCTGGACGGAGCTCTGGTGGCGTCGGAGTCCCCCGTCACCGTGAAGATGGAATCGGACAGACTGGGCCTCTCGTCGTGAGCCAGCGGGGCGAAGCTGAGCTGGACGATCTGCCGGGCGCTCTGGCACACCGGGCCGTGGATGGCGGGCGTCAGCGTTGGCAGGTCGAAGGTCAGGACGGTCTGCGTGCTGGAGGTCAGCAGCTCCTCGCTGTCCAGGCTGTTGTACGACGTCCCTTTGGCTCGGTGGGACTCCATGATGCTCTCAAAGTGGCGGCTGAAGGTGTCCTCGGCGGCCAGGCGGGGCCCAGACACCAGGATGGGGGATTTCAGCGCCGGGTGGTGGTTGTCGAAGAACGTCTCCATTGGTCTGGACAGAGAGGGAGGTTTTAGAAACACAGCTGTGGAAAACATCTGGATGAAGGGACTCCAACGCTACTGTAGCTAACAGATGGGACTAATTAAAGCAAAAAGGTCTGTTAACTTGAAATATAGGTTACGAGTGAGATCCAAATTCAGACGAACATGTGGGTCAAAGGAAAAAAAGTTCTTGTTTGTGTTTACAGTTTGACGTTCACCTCTTGAGCAGGTGTCCGAACACCTCCGGCTCCTCCTCGGCGGCGTACAGCTGCTTCCTGCTGTCTCCTTGCATCCTCACACTTGCCCAGCTCACCATTTCCTCCTCTTCCTCCTCCTCATCGTCCTCCTCTTCCTCTTCCTCCTCCTCCTCCTCTCTTCCCCCTCCTCTCTCCCCATCCGTCCTCCCATAACCCAGCCCCCCCAGAGGACTGCTGCCTGTCCCGGAGTTTCCCTGAACGCTGCGGTTGCTCCCGAAGGCGGAGTCGGCGTCGTCCTGCTCGGCCAGCAGAACCTCGTCGATGTCGGTCTCGCGGTAGCAGCGCAGCGGGACGGCGTCCAGGTCGGTCTCCGAATACTTGAGCGTCCGGCGGATGATGCCGGTTTTGGGCGACGTCCCGATGACGGCCGGGGGAGGAGTCACCAGCTCCACCTCCACGTGCTGCACCTCGTGGTTGGCCGACGGCAGCGGCAGGGAGGACGGGGGAGTCGGGGTGGGAGACTCGCTGGAGTTACCACTAGGAGGCGCTGTGGAGGCTTCCAGAGAATCTGCAAAGTGAGAAAATGACATAAAACTTCAATAATGTGAAAAATGTGGCTCATGTTCTGATATAATACCTGCAGAAGAAACAGATTTCCTT